CATGGGCATCAGTTTCTTCACATTTATAGTTCTCGTGAGGTGTGTAGATGACCCAGAGATTTCTGTGCTAGGTGCTGGCCCTTGAGAGCAGACAGGGAGCCATGCAATCCTGGGTGCCCCTTTTACAAAGTGAGCAGGGTCGGGTTGTCAGTGCCGACCTAAGTTGCTGGTCCTACTCTTTGTCACTGTCCTGAGACCACTTCAAGATACTGCCCAGGCTTCTTGCCCTAACTGCTCTGGGCCTCCCAGTGTGAGGGTAAGTTTCCATTCTTCTTATCAGGAGTGCTTTTGTTGAGTGACAAGTGCCCTTGAGTTGAATGATAGACAGGCTTCCAATGTCCTCTTTGCTTGAAGATGGAAGTAGCTTTGGTATTTGGGGGCATAGCTCTGGAACAGACAAATCACTAATCAAGTTGGTATCCTACCAGTGTCTGTCATACTCCACATATCAGTACTTTGGGGCTTGTTTCATTCATTGAATGGCACGATACTAGCCATCTTTTCCACCTGTGTGTGATTTAAATTGACTGTAATACTAGTTATCATCTTCATTTTTGTGACAAAAATATTTTTAAAAAGCAACTTAAGGATGGATTTTTTTTTGCCCAGAGTTCTAAGGGAACAGTCAAACTATCAAGCAGACAGTGGTGGCAGATGAGGCATTTGGTGACTTTGTTTATAGACGTGAAAGACAGATGAGTGAATGCTAGTGATGAGCTGTGTTGTTCTTTTTATCAAGTTCTAGAATAGAAATAGGCTCACCAATATAGGATGAGCCTTCCTAACCAAATTATTTCTTATAGACTTGAATATTTAATGAATCTAAATTCTGTGAAGCTGGAAAAAAAAGTTTAGCCATAATATATAACAAATGCAAATATTTAGAATAATATTTATATAACAATGACAGCTAATATGTATCCTTGATTTAATTATCTCCACATTTTATACCATAATTATGTGAATTATAGTTGAACTCAGTACAGGGTTCACATTTATAAATAAATGTCAATCCCCTCAGAGTCAGGCTGCCTTTACAGGAACATAATATATCAGTTTGTAAAGTGATTAGATATATAACAAATGCTCAGTGAATAAAGTCTCATGACTTAAATGAATTTGAGCTTGGTAATTCCTTTTACAAAATGCTTTTATTTTTTAAACTACATGTATGTGTGTATGGGTATGTGTATGTGAGTGCAGGTGCCCTACAGGCCAGAAGCATCTGATCCCCTGCTGCTGGAGTTACAGTGGGTGGGGTAGGTTCACTGGTAACAGATGCTGGGAACCATACTTGGTTTCTTGAGCCCTCAATAAGAGCAGCCTGTGCTCTTAACCATGCGGGCAAATCTCCAGGCCTTTGAGTTTGATAGCTCTTAAATATTAAACACTGGGTGTGTTTTCATGTTGTTTGACATACATAATTGCAGCTGGAAGAGGAGAAGATACTTTAGCTGATCTCTGCCCTGTGCCCTTTAGACAGTCATTTGAATGGGATTATATGAAATTAGTGCCAGGGAAATGTACAGGCCAAGGAATGCATTACTGATCCTTGCACATTGTGAGTGGCTTTATGGAGCCTGATGAAGTGACTTGTCCAAGTGAGGCAGGGAGTTGGGATCAACCCTCAGCCCTGTGGCCTGGTTTTGCTTTGCATTCATGAGGCTCATTTGTCATTGGCTCTGAGGCTGTGACTTTGTTCTATACCTCATCTTCTTCAGGATCATCACCTAGCCTGTGTTCCTCTCATACCTTGGGCATGACATCTAAGGAGATATATGGGCCCCTGTCCTCAGCAATCTCTCCTGATGACCTGTACACCAGAATCTCAGTGTCAGGGACACATGTGTTTAAAGGACAGAATCCTAATATCTAGCATATTACCCTCCATGATTTTGTCATACAGACAAAGCAACTGGCCCCAAGGAGGAAGTGTCTTTCTCAAGTTTATCTAAAATGTCTAAGAAGCTCCAGAGGATGCTGGATTAAAATCAAGCTCAAGCTTCAGGGAACCTGGTCAGAATCATATCCAGCTGCTTAGAATGCAGATCCTGTAAGAGAGATCATTTCCACACTGAGCCACAATGAGTTGATGTTTCTGTTTCAAGAACTTTGTGTTGCACAAGTATGTTTTTAATACACATGTTAAATCTCAACCACAGGTATCCTTTCTGTAGCATTTCTTTTTCTTTTTAATACTTGTTTAACTCAATGTTTTAATGTGATTTCCTGTTTGGTTGAGATAAAGTTTCTCTATGTAGTGCTGTATTCCTGGCTGTCTTTTATGTCAAATAGTTGCAGCAGTATGTTTTCTTTAATCCCTACACAAATAACAAATAAACATATGATTGTAAAATGAAAAAGAACTAGAGGAATCATCAAGGGATGAGAAAAAACTGCTGCTGCAACTACCATGTCCCAAACAAGGCATTAAAATAAAACATTACTAAGTTAACCAAGCTTTAAAAAGAAGGTTTCTTTTTTTCATTTTTAATTTGGTTATGTGGGAGACAGAGACCAGAGCTGTCTGTGGTTCTTCTCTATCGCTTGCTAGAGAATGTGTGAGGACTTGAAAATCCAAGGGTCTATTGGCCTGTGGTGGGTATGACTGGCTGTTGTCACTGATCATACTTGGGAGATGTTCTCCCAGGACCAGCACCAATGTTCCTTTTCAGGACCATGCCTCAATTGTAGTGAAATTAAACCCAAGCCAGAGGCATCTTTGCAAAGCTTCAAAATCTGTTTGTGGCATGTCACAGCTCATTCTCAGGTGTCACAATGGTTGGTATTTTGTGGATTTGCTGGGTTTCATTGGTTTTTATTAGATCTAGGCTAGGAGTGTATGAAAAAGAGGTAACAAGAGGCTCACATGCAGTAATTTCCATGAGTTGTTCTGAGTCCTTAGGCATTGGAGGGCTCTTTTGCCTAAGGAGAGAAAAAGATGACTGGAAATCTTGGAGAATATTAAGAAGAGAGAAAATCCAGGGACAATAGACAAATGCATATCCACCAAATCAACTCCCATTGAGGATGGAGACACCCTGTTCTTCAGAGAGCTTCTGGGCTTCTGAGAAGAAAGGGAATCCTCTAGTGTCTACATTCCTATGAGGGCCTATTATACTTGCTCTGGGTGAGATTGCCTCTGGAAAAGAGACACTTGTACCCTATATTCAGGAAGCTTGCTGATGATTCTGTGGCCCCTAATAGTAGGCCTAATAAGACTTCCTTCAGTGAGTCACTAATTTGAGATCAAACATAGGCAAAAACTCAATGCCAATTACAATGAGAGAGGCAGAGCCTTGGATTTGTTTTACACCATTCAATGAACTCTCACACAGCACTCCTAACATACTTTTCCCAAAGCAGTGAAGGGAAAGTCCACTCACCTGTAGCACTCTGGTGAGGCCTACTGTGGCCTAGCATACAAGTGACAGCTTGGCAGGAAGTAATAGCAGCAATTGATTATTGTGTTATATGTGTTTAGCTATGCAAAGTTGGGTTTCATTTATTTAACTATGTAAAGATGTGTTGCATTTGTTTATGTTGCCCAATATTTGTTTAACTATATGAAGATGTATTGCATTCATTTAATTATGTAAAGATGTGTTGCTGTTTTACCTTGCCTGCCTAATACTCCTGATTCAATTAGTATATAGCTGAACAGCCAATAGCGACAGAGGAGGTTCAGATGCAGTTTGAGGCAGAGAGAGAAAATAGTAGTAGGAATTTAGACAAGGAGAAGAAAGAAAAAATGCCAAGTAGATGTCAGGGAGATGCCAGGGGCGAGCCATCCAGACATGGAGGAAGCAGGAGGGTAGGACATACAGAATGAAGGAAAAAAAAGGTAAAAAGCCCTGAGGCAAAATGTAGATGAATAGAAAGAGGTTAAATTAAGTTAAAAGAGCTAGTGGGACAAGCCTAAACTAAGGCTGAATACTCATGATTAATAAGTGTCTGTGTTATTATTTGGGAGCCAATTTGTGGCCCGAAGAAAATTCCAACTAAAAATGATTACCTAAAAACAGACCCAAAAGGTCTTAGAATTTCATTCTGTCTACAACATAACCACACATAATATTGCTTTTATTAGGAGGTTGGTCAAATGCCTTACCCTCATACTCAAGTTGCCCCTCTTAGAGTACTTCCTGCATGGCCTTTCTTTCTCAGTTGTTTGGATTTCACTGACATTGCTTTTTTGAGGAATAAAAAGTTTTAAGAAGGACTCCACCCAAGTCCAGAATACTTCAGAGCTCCTGAGGAGGGACAACTCTGAGCCACTTCCTCAAGGGATCTTTCCTTGGGGTGTTCCTGAAAGGAAGCACAGAAGGATACGAACCAACCATAGTAATCCCTGTGAGTCTCCCAGCACAGCAGCTCACAAAGGTCTTCATGGATGATGCCCAAATAGACACATCCCCACTTCCACCCCCTATGCAGAGTGCTGGGGAGGAATCATGACTTTTACTTCACAGAGAAGGATGTCACAGTCTAGTCACAAAAGAAGGTTACAAGTGACTCAAAGCCAGGAAACATGGACACAGAAATGGCTTTGTTGGTGCTAATATCCCATTTGTCTCGCTTCCTACTAGCAGAGACCCAGCATTCCTCTTCAGACATGGGTTCTTTTCAGAAAGACTGTTAGGGGCAAATAGGACAACTAGGAGAGGGATGAGTTCATGAATGGTGATGGGTAGAGAGTCATGGCCTGGTGAAAATGGATGCTAGGTTGATGGGAGGAGAGTAGCTCCAGTGGATTTCTGCTGTGACAAGGGCACATTGACAGGCTGGGAGAGAGACTTGCACAGGGTAGTCGGGACTAATGTCAGCAATGTCACATGGTTAGGGAGATGAGCAACGGGGGCTAAAAACAGACCCAAATGATGCAGGTGCTCATTTCCTTATGACCACAGGAGGGCTGTGCAAGAGTGCAGAGCACTCCATCGGATGCTCAGATGTCTGGGAAACACAAGTTCAGAAGGAGACGTCAGTGGCACCAAGAACACTGTTGTAGACAGACTTTATTTCCCCTGACCCTCAGGTCACAACCAAGGCCTGTGACATTCCATTCCTGTAGCACTGGGCGGGCAGGTGCAGGGAGGTACTGCTGTGCCTCTTCTCTTAGGACGTCTGTGCTATTCTTGCCAACATGGCCAAAAGCTGCTCAAGGTTGTACTTTTCCTCCTGATCCGAATTCTCCAATTGCTTAAACAGGTTTTGCATAAAATTTGACTTCTGTGGGTAGAAGGCAGATGGATGTTAGCACTGACCATGTCCAGGGAAGAGGACCAAGGAGCATATTGAGTGTGGGCAAAAGCACAGGGAAGCTGGCCCAGGGGCTCCTCCTAAGAATGAAAGTGAAGACCGAAATCCTCACTATGCAACAAATACTAAACACATGCTACAGCTTTCTAATTGGATCCTGGTGGCACTCCACAGTCAGAGCTACAACTCTCTTTAGCAGAATGAGGTCAGACAGTAAGTATAGAAAACCCCACGATCCTCATTATAATAACCTCAACATGCAGAAATGGCATCTTCTTGAAGGTAGACTAGGGAAGACTGCCCTTGCAGGAACTGGATGGATTTACACTTGTGGCGGCTGGGAAGAGAACAGAGGAGGGGTAAACTCATTCTGACTGGTAGGCACCCCTGCACCCCCCTCCACTCTTCTAGTAGCTCCTCCTTCATCATGTCCCTTGGAGTCAACTAGTTAGTGGATTGCACTCAGGATACTCAGTGGGGAGCACTGAGGGAAACAAGCCTGTGTGGGCCTCGAATGGGTGGAGTATTCGAGGTTCTAAATGTGGTGGTAAGCTGTGTGTAGGGACTCATGTGAGGGGGCTCATGTGAAGTGAAGGATCTTAGTATGTCTAAGAACACTACCAGCTGCAGGTCTGCCACTCACTGGCTGGAACACCATGGCTAAGTCTCTCTCAGAAAATAGTGTCCTATGATCCAGGTGTCTGAATAGGGAGGAGAGTTCATGGAGGGATCATGCAAAGGACAACTCTATTCAGAAGCTTCCTGTGCACCCTTTACCTCTGCCTGACCTAGCACTTGGACTGCCTGAAGTCTTCACTTACGACAAGCTGTCAAATGGGGTTGGAAAGATCGTGCAGCACTTAAGAACACACACTGCTCTTACAAGCGATTTTGGTTTAGTTTTCATGGTGGCTCACAAACATCTGTGTTCCAGTTGAAGGGAGCCAAGTCCCACTGCAATCACACACACACACACACACACACCATATACACAGCACATACATACCTTGTAGACCAAATCATCATATACATTAAAAAAAATCTTAAAAAAAAAAAAAGGAAGTAGGAGTGGTAGATGTCACTAATACTGTCCAAAATAGAAAATTTGCACCTTAATGGTGACCAAAAGAGGCTGGGGACTTGCTCTCAGATGTTAAATCTTAGAAATGACAAATGAAGACTAGGGTCTATGTGTCATATCTGTCTTTACACATGCCTCTGTTTCCCCAGGTTTAAAAGAGAACACTAACTATTTTGGAATGTGCTTTCCATGTGTTCTTTCATGCCTGCATTTACTATCTTAGAACCCCAGGGAAACAGCAGCCCCCTAGATCTGCTCCTAGTCTCCAGCTGAGGGTTAGTGTCCCTCAACTGACCAGTCAGGAGCCATCATGGAATGTGTCCTTTAGCAGGGACCTAACCTCAGCTCAAATGTTCCTGCTTCATGGTAAAATGTCCATCTCGGGTACCATAACCACTTACCTTTGCTCCTTCCAGTGAAAACTACCCACTCTAGCCTCCAGATTACTTGGGCATTGGAATTAACTGGAGTTTTAATTTTGTGCTTCTCTGTCATAGCTGGACTACTATGTCCCTCTGTCAAGAACTTGGTGTCCCAAAGGACAGTCCAGTTTCATGAGGGTCCGTATCTAACCATGAGCACCTCTAGTGACTGAGCCCTGGTTGACCCTGGATGGAAAGAGCTTGACCTTTCCCTCTGACTGTTGCAGACTGTACCCCCTGCACTCTGGAAGAAGCCCTACCTTGACAAAATTTGGTAGTTCCTTTTCAAGAAAATCTTTCAGTTGCTCCTGGGTCAGTTCTATAGTCACAGTGGAAGAGTACCTCTGGAAGACATCCATGATGGTATTTATACTGCTTTCCACTGGGGACAAACCTTGATCCATTTTAACCTGAAGAATGGAAAGGTAAAGGTTACAAGGAGCAGAATGAACTTTCATCATTCCTTGACCTGTCTCCTCACAACTAGCAGTTTAGAGGTGGGGAGAATATCAAATAAAAGAGAAAGAAATTGTCCCCTTTGTTCAGGACAACTCTTGTTGATCTAACATAAAAATGAGATTTTGACCCACTGGAGAATTTCTGAAAGTAAAGCATTTTGTAGCGTAAGGCTCTTAGAAATTGTAAAGAAAGAAACAAAACAAGTAAAATCAACAAGGCTTCCAGGAGAAGGGTTTGGAAGGATGTTGGTAAAGTAAGAGAAGAAGGAGGAGGAGGTAATCCCCCTCCAGGAGAATCTGTAGCCCACTTACCAAAGCTGAGGAGCCACACAGAGTGCTTGGCATCATAGGTGCAGGCCTCCTTTTATAGGCAGCCCCTAGCTGGACAAATGACTCTCCTTGGAAAAGACTCAGTCCTAAGTGAAGAATGTGGTGATCTGCCAAGGATGGAGTTGGGCAGGAACTTCCTCTCCTACCCCTCCCCTTTATCACTCCCTTGCCTACTCTTTGTTCTCCCCCCTCTTTGGAATTCCAACCCAATCCTGGAGCTGGATTGAGAGGATGCTGTGAGGTCATTTCTACCCCTTCTCTTCATTTTCTTGAGCAAGACAGCCTGCCTGACACTCTCCCCATCCCCTCTCTAACCATCAGAGGCAGGCTGAGCATCGATGGGAGCTGACCCAATCTGCCTCCCCCACAATCCATTCTGTCCCTCCTGCTTATGGAATGAGTCCTACCCCTTGCTTCCTGGCTCTGTTAAATGCTCTTGAGATGATGAATAATATTGATGGAAGGGAGATCAAGGTTAAAGATTGTGAGAGTTGATAAGCATCTTGTATTTTAGAAGAATTTAATATCTAGAAGGTCCTGGGCAAGAGCAGGTAGCCAGTAGGTTACCCAACAGGAACAGGTCTCAGATATCCAGGTTGTTGGTTAAGTGAAATTCCGTGCATCCCCCCTCTGTTGCAAAGAGGGTAATGATCCTTGCACAAATGTGGATCCAGAATTCCTAAGTTGACTTCCTATTCCTAGTACCCATTTGGTACTATGTCCAAATGTCCCCGGAGATCGCTATGTTGTTTTTAAATTATTATTTTCAGAGTATATTATATTAGCTCTACAAAGTAAGGGGTTTTATTGTGACATTTCATGGACATTCAATGCACTGGTGTCCTATTTACCAACCATATCAGCCTTCCTTATCCCCACTCTCCATTATTCCACATGCACAGTAGTGTGGCTCCTACTCCCAAAACAGTTTCCCCTGCAGAGAGCATACAATACTCATCTTTGTGAGACTGGCCTATTTTTCTTAACATGACAATCTTTACATGTTCTAAACATTTTCCATCTTGTTTCCTGAAAAGGACATATTTTTATTGTTTTTTGACTGAATTAAACTCCACTATGTATATTGAACCCAGAACAGAGGAGTCCGTATCCATTAATTCATCTGTGAATGGACACCTAGGTGGAACACATGTCTTAGAAACTGTAAATACCTCATCTTAAGTTATGTTACAGAGCCATGTAACAAAAGCAGCATCAAGCTGAAAAAACAGATGCAGATCAATGAGACAGAATTGACAATCCAGGCATGAAACCACACAGCTACATCTTCTGTATTAATATGTTCTTGATTTTGTTTATTTTTTTATATGCATACATGTTTTGTTTAGAAATACGTCTTGCAGTATGTGTATTCAGTGCTCAAAGAGAACAAAAAAAGGCATTGGAAACCCCTGGAATTAGAGTGATAGATGACTGTTGGCTACTGTGTGGGTGATAAGTATTGAATCCAGGTCTTCTGGAAGAACAGCTAGGGCTCTTCATCATTGAGCCATCTCCCAGCCTCACATATCTGATTTTTGACAATTTCCCAAAAATACTGACAGGGAAAAGCAGCCTCATTGACAAATTGTGCCAGGAAAACTGGATATCTACATGTAGAGGGATGGAGTTGGATGCGTATCTCTCATCATGCTCAAAATCAATACAATGGATTAGAGACTTTAACTTAAACCTCAGCCTCCATAGCTACTAGAAGGAAAAGATCAGAGAAATCTTTGAGATGTAATGATGGTAAGGAGATTGTGACTAGAACATCAATTGCTCAATAAATAAGGTCAAGAACTGGCAAGGGAAACCTCATGAAATTAACAAAAAATCTGCACATCAAGTAAGAAGTTACCTGGAGGAAGAGACTGCATGTAGAGGAGGAGAAAATCTTTGCTGGACAGGTTAGCAATATCTAGGATATAAAAGATCAAAACATCACCAATAACAAAAGAAACAACCCAATGAGAAAATAGACTAAGGGATGGCATAGAATGTTCTCAAAGGAGAAAGAAAATAGATATTTTTTAAAGTTCTTAACTTCCTTGGCCATCAGGAAAATGCAAATTGAAATTCCTTTGGCATCTCATCCCCAGTCCTTTCATAATGGCTATCATTAAGAAGACAAAAGACAATAAAAGGTGGGAGGGTGAGGAGAGAAGACTCCTTATTCACTGTAGGTAAGGGTGTACACTGGAATACCAAGGATGTGGAAGCAAGGGTAGAAATACCAGAGAACCCAGATATATCAGCCCTGGGCATATACCCAAAAGATTCTCATGCTATTAGAGGGATACCTGCACATCTGTGCTTATTATTACTCTGTTAATAATAGCAAGGGAATGAAATCAGCCTAAAGTCATCAACTGATGAATGAAATATGAAAATCGGTTACATATGCAACTATGGCATTTTATGTCATAAGGATATTTCCTGTCATAAAGAAAGAAAATTATGAAATTTCCATGAAAAAATACATTGAATTGAAAAATATTGTATTGTGAAGTAACTCAGACATAGAAAGTCAAATAATTCATGTTCTCTCTTATACTGTGAATTGTGAGGGGTAGTTTTGATTTTAAACTTGACAACATCTCAAATCACATAGTAGACACACTTCCAGTAACAACTGTGGGGGGATTACTTTGATTAGCTCAGCCTTCTCTTATTCCTGTTGAGAATACTTGCTGAGGTGAATTCCGATGAGAAGACCCAGTCTAAATGTTGGAAACAATTAGTTACCTTGGGTTGCATCTGGAGTTGGACAAGGATAGTATGTAGGAGGAATAGTCTCTGTCCTTATGCAATGGAGGGATTTAATCAATGGGACTCAAACTTTCGGATATATTTCCCCACAGGTCACTTTAAGGCTTAATGAAAGGTATGAGGAGCCCTCACCAAAGACTTTGAAACAGGATGTGACCAGTGAGTGGAAAAGCTGGTTGTTATCCACATTTTCATTAGAGAACAGGTAAACTAAGCATTCTTCAGGGGTCTTTGAAGAATAAGAAGCTGAGTGGATGTGTCATATACATCTGACAGAAATACAGTGAAGGGAATGAAGCCCAATATGCTTCTACTTATCACTCAGTCTGTCTGAATCCAAGTACTCTTCGCTATTAAAGTGAGGTTCAGCAGGTTTTCTTCCAGGGATTGTATGAAGGCGAACCACAAAACTATACTACTAGAAATGAGAATGTCAATCGAGTTCACCCACAACAGTTTCAAATGTATTTCATGTATTATTACATTTGTCAACTTTGGAAGCCTACCACGAGGACAGAGTACCTGTAAGGGATCAGGAGTACCTTCTGGTTGTAGACTGTTGTTGTATAAAAGGCTGGCTAGACACACCTTCTTCATAGTTATAGAACTACTGAGACATAGGAGTAAACCTGAGATTTCTGAGACAGGTATTGGCCTTTGGGAGCAGACAGGGTACCATGCTGACGTGGGTTCCCCTTTTACAAAGTGAGCAGAGTAATGTTGTCAGTGCCTAGCTGGGCTTCTGACCCCTCTCAATGTGGGCATCCTGAGACCACATGAAGGTACTGCCCAGGCTTCTTGTCCTAATTGTCCTGGGCTTCCCAGTATGAGGGTAAGTTTCCTCTGCTCTTAGCAGAAGTGCTTTTGTTGAGTGACAAGTGCCCTTCAGTTCACTGATAGACAGGCTTCCAGTGTCCTCTTGACTAGAGGATAGAGTGATTTGCTATTTTGTGGCATTGCTATGGAGTAGACAAATCACTATTCAAATTAGTGTCATACCAAAGTCTGTCACACTTTACATGCCAATACTGCCTTAGTCACTGTTTTATTGCTGTGACAAGACACCATGACCATGGAATCTCAGAAATGAAAGCATTAGTTTGGAGTTGCTTACAGTTTCAGAGGTTTATACTCATCTGGATGGGGAGCATAGCAACACACAGGCAGAAATGGTAATGGAGCACTAGCTAAGAGTTCTATATCCAGATCCATGGGCAACAGGAAGAATGACAGTGAGCCTGCCTTGACTCAATCCAAGGGACATATATCCTCCAACAAGGCCACACGTACTCCAACATGGCGAATACCCAAAAGATTCCTCATTAAAACTTGTTGGTCCTATCATTAATGCTTCTACTTATTTCACAGATGGAACAAAGATCACAAGGCCCTGGACATGGAACCTGATCAAGCTGGGGTTTGTACATTTATTGCTCAGCCCAACAGTAGGAATTATATAAACACATAAAGATCCCAGAGCCTCATTCTTTTCAAGTTTACAGTCATTGATTCTGCCCTTACAGCCATTGCCACCCTGTGCTGGATACAGCTAGTACCACAAAATGATAAAGTTATCCATAATCATTCTTCCCAGACTCAGTAAATAATTCTTTCCAGGTGTTTGCAATTTGGCATCATCCATATGTTTGTCCATTTGGGATTGATTGCCCATGTTTTGGATCACATGGATGCAGACATTCTAGTTACCATGTGTCTTTACTTACACATCTCCCATAGACCACTGACTGACATGCTCAAACTCACAACCATGCTCGATTTCTGCAAGCAAAATTTCACCTACCCTAGAATCAGGCAATAACTATACTTCTTCAATGTCTCAAATGGTCTAAATTGGATACTAGACCACTTCCTTCAGGGATTAGTCTCTGATGGACAGAACTAAATTATCTCTGATAAATGGATAGGATTATAGTCTAAAACTGCAAGCAAATATATGTCCATGTCTGTATAGATACTTTCTCATATATAACATGGGCAACACCTCAAAATGGAGAGTGTAGTATAGCATCATATGACCCAGAATAGCTTTGCCACTATGAGCATTCCTAAGAAAATCAAAAATGATAATGGCCCTGCATACCGGTCTCATAAAGTCCAACATTTTGTTTGTAATGCTTTCAGGTTGCACATAAAACCAGGATACTATATAACTCTACAGGACAAGACACTGTAGAAAGCAAACACTGCAAATCCCTCTGTATTAAAACAAAAATTGGGGGAATAGCAGATACACTATAGGACACCACAACTACAATTA